ATCCTGTGAGGCAACTGCACAGGGAGAAACACCAGGTTGCCACATTAACAGAGGCATGCTGCAGGAATCCCCTGATAGGGCATGTGCCTGGGGAATCCCTTGCTGGGGGAAGCACACCTCTGCAAAACAAAGGCAGGTGCCCCAGGGTTTTAGGGCCCAGTCTTCCGTGGTCTGAGAATTCCCTTGAAGGGATTCCTGGGGGTGCAGGGTCAGACCCCCAAATACCCTGGGAGTACTTTTCTTGGGTGGCTAGAGACCATGGACAGGTCCAGGCTGCCCTGCCATAAACAAACAGATGTCTACCCCAAAAAAGCAGCACATATTTTTACCACCTATTGTGGCCACAATTTGGGGCATTTGTATTGCAACAAGGGACATAGGTTTTGTCCTGCAGTGTCGTGGCACACAGGCAATGCTTATTTACAACTAAACAGGAAAAAAAGGGGAAAAAAAGGAGATAAATTTAAGATGGAAATGGACAAGTCTATGAAAGAGATTAGATAATATGGCTCCCTACAACAGCAAGGGATTAGATTCAGTAACATAAGCAGACTTTTCCACTCTTATGTTCCTATGGAAGAACTTAGACTTGATAAAATATAGAAGGAGAAATAGTCATCCAAGAACCATGGTCCTCAGTTCATGATATTTCAAAGTAGCAGCAAATATTGTTCCTCATTGCTCAAGACTCTAGACACTTCCTTTCTACTGCCCTGGCCACAGGAGAGAAAGTGGGTAGGGAATGAGGAAAACCAGAAACAGACAAATTACTCCATATTGTGGAAGTTATACTCCAGAGCTCTGTGCCCAAGTTGAAAAGGAGCTGAACTTGGGATAATCGAGTGTCCGATACTTTGCTCCACTCATATATAGGTAAATAATGAGATGAATACCATATTCCAACTTAGGGAGAGAAGCACTGCTTAGAGAGGGAAACTAATGGCAATCTATTTTATAAAGGAATAACTGCAGCCAATCTAAGTACTCAAAAATATTTTTCTTCAAGCCACTCTAATGATACTTCGCATATAAGTCACTAGCTAGTAAACATACATTTCTATTTGCCTTCTGGTTTGTAATTGTTAAAGTTAATATTTTCATGATTTCTTTCTACTATCACAAGAGCTAGAAACTTACTCCTCTTTCAATAAAAGTTGAGATTCTTTTGGGATGATCTATCTGTGTGACACCTGAGTTGGTAGAAATATCTCAACTGTCAAGAGATTTTCATTTAAAATCAGAAGAGTTGGTTTAGACAAGTGAGTCTAATAACATCAGGGAGAGACCTCCACAGTGTTAGAGTTACTATTCTGTATCTTCAAATAAAGTTAATGAACTTTTTCCCTGTAATTCCAATTCCTAGAGCTGTTTGATGGTATGGTGGTACCCTCGTCTCCAAACCTCTTCCTCACTGAGGACAGATGAATTAATGCATCTCTGGAACAGTACTCATCTTCACATTGATAGCACCCTGATATAGCTTTTGTTACAAGGGGAAAGGGTCATGGAGTTCTAGAATATCAACCAGGCAAAGTGAAGGCAGTGTGTTCCCATACAGAAATTCTGTGAAGTGAACCACAGCTATTTCAAATCTGTTTTCCCCTCTTCCCTCTCTGCTGCCAGCATGATACAGCCGCTGTGGAGACGGAGTTACAGCTAGTGGGCCCAATTCTCTTCTCACACCAGCTGTGTAACTGCATTAATCCAGTGTAACCCCACAGCTTGGCCTGCTTGGAATTGCTTCCGATTAAAAAAGGTGGAAGTGAGAGTAGAATTAGGCCCCACCCGCTGTGAAAATGTGAATTTCATAGCAGAACTATGCTGCTTCCATTCTGGCTGGACTATCTTAGACAAATAAAAACCTTGACTAGAAACAGCTGGAACAGTTCAGAGAAGTGTATAAATCATGGCAGGAACACCTCTACTTGCTCATCTGATTTGCCACTTTACCTCTAAAGGCTTGGTTCAGAAGGAGAACTTTGATGGGGATCAAACACCACTATCCCAGAGGGGAAAATTGATGTTGTTATACCACAGAAATCCTCTCTGAGCCTTAGCAGTGATTTTTTCCCCCTCAACCAGATACAGAAATGTACTTAAGATAAAGCACTGTAAGATAATTTGAGAAATCAAACTCACTCCAGCTATAGTTGAAGACATGACACCATCTTTAACCTTCTAAGTATGGTCTTATTAAATGTAACACTTACTTAAAGCTCTTGTTTCAGTAAGAGTTAGTCACTGTATTTACCTTCTCTATCAATACATAACTGCAGCCAAGGCATGATGTAAATGACTGGTTAATACTAGAACCATCCTAGGAGCTATGGCATTAGCTCACAGAGAGATACTCAACCTCCAATTTACAAACCTTTTTCAGAATACCACAGGAAATGCATTTTATGCATCCCACGTGAGAAAGGTGGGATTGAAAGCACCATACTTAATATAAATGAACAGAAACTGAGTGGTCAGTTCTCAAACTTTCTTCCTTTCAAAGTTAGGTAAATTAACAAGGGTGTCGTTTGATAAACGAGGCTAAAAAGAAAAGAGGAATAGCATCTAAATTTCTAAATTCCTTTACTACATCGTTTTTGATTACTATTGCACTTCAGCTACAGAGTACAGTTTTCAAAGCACCAATGAATCCAAGTGTTTGCATGTGAATAACTTTCATTGCAATTTGAAGTAAAAAGTCAAAACAAAAATAGGTTATTAATTTATATTTATAACAATAGTGTTCACAGCCTCATTTAGAAATCAAATTCCATTTTGATAGGCACTCTCCTGACATTTGCAAAGATGTGATCTCATATGCTGGAATTCAGGCACTAACAAATTACCCATCAAGAATGATGGGGAGGGGGGGAGTGATGATGCGGGGGGAGCTTGCTAACCCTATCTACCCCCACCTCTCAGGAGCAGGAGGGAGGAGGGAAGCTTGCCCCACCAACTCCCTCCACCAGCACCCCATGTCACTGCCTCCTCCAAGGAGCTCGGGGGGAGGGGGGAAGCGAGTCCAGTGCTCCATCCCCTCCATTCCCATCATCATGGCAGTGCTCCACCACCTCAAGGGAGCAGGGCTGGGGCCAGCACCACTGGCCTCACCACTTCCCTCTTCCCCCCAGCCCTGCTCCCTGGAGGCAGCGGAGCACTGCTGTCTCCTGTACATAAAACTCTTGGAGCACTCTGATTGGTTATTTCAGTAACCAGTCAGAGTGCTCCAAGAGCATTACGGACAGACAGACGGCTAAGCTCTTTATTAGAATGATAAATAGCAATAGGCAACCTGAAAAATGGTTTGAGTTCAGAATATGACTTGCATCTTATTATGGTGTCATATCCCTCAATTAACAACCATACAATATTTCTGTTCCCATTAAACCAGTTAGTGAGAAATAAAACACTGGAAAACTATTCTATTATTGTAAAATATTCCAATGAGACCAACATCTTTTAACATTTTCCTACCAGAATCTAGCAATGGTTTTCTGCATTCATTTATCCTCTTTACTGTCTCCTCATATAGGCAAATACTCCCTTCCTACAAAGAAAGTGAAGCTGAGTAGTTTGGATTCCAGGCGAGAGTCAGCATTGTGCGTCTGTCCAGCAATTGCCTGTCAGGTCATCAAGATATCGAACCATGGGATGAAAACACACAACTTCGGCATTTTTAGTTTGTGAATTGAGCTATAAGTCCTATGAAACAAGGTCTTCAGTGGCATTTCAACAAATTTCCAGTAGATTTCAACAACCTACTCCATCGCTCTGCAAATGAAGCCTGCAAACTACAGAAATTCCCTTATTACCCTTGTACACACAATATCCTATTTCAGACATGTAAACAAATTCAGAAGTTCATTCTGATATTGGTTCTAGAAACCGTTGGATGTTTGCTTCCACCTTTTCTCACTGCTTGTTATAAAATACAAAGTTCAAAGTTTATTTTGGCTGCATACAGGTATGTTCACTGAATCTGGTCTCTATTCATATGGCTTACATTAAGGCGCATGAACATAGACTGGAAGCAGCATGTGCATAGACAGAAAGCAGTGTTTGTTGGTTCTAGGAGGCAGGTGGGGATAGTGGATTAAGTAATTCATTGTGGGGAAGGGGGTGGGTGGGACTACAGGAAGCTAGCAAGTATGATGTGGCAGATTGGTGGATGTGTGCATGGTGGTAGGGTGGAAATTAGGGACTAAAAATAGCCTGGTCAGGGTCAGGGGGATAGGAAGAACACAACCCCTGGGCTGGTATGCAAGCATTCAATAGATCAGGTCCCGATCTAAGTTAGCTCGCCACCTCAGATGAACTAACTTAGACTGAGCCCACCATTTTTGCCCGATGTAACCCACCTGAATAGATGAGCATTCAAATAAACCTAACCCCAGTTAGGTTAATCTAAATGTAATGCCTGTGCCTACCTTTACAGCTATTAGAATTCCTAGGATGCACAGTTCTCTCATGTGAAAACCTGAGGATCTTATAGACAAGACTTGTCCAACATACATACCGCGGGCCACCATGTGGCCCACCTAGCCATTTTCTGTGGTTCGTGGTGCTGCGACGGGAACCCCTTGTCCCTCCCCCAGCAGCTTTCTACTGGTTGCTGAAGGGCTGAGAAAGGGACAAGGTTCCCACATGCACCGCATCAGTTTGACGTTGCCGACATGGTGCGGCTCCTCCCCTCCCCCCTCATTTCACTGTGTCCCTTCCTCGCCCCACCCCTCCCTTCCTCATTTTCACGCCAGCTCCTCCCCTCTCCCACACTTCAGGGTTTCCATTCTTAGCCCCACCCCTCCCTTCCTCATTTGCATGCTGGCCCTGCCCTGCACCAGTCCCCCCTGGCCTCGTGGGCTGGAGCAGGTCACAGTGCAGCGGACAGGTGGGCACAGGGGGCATGGATGCCGGTGTGGAGGGATGCTGCCACCAGGCCCATGGGAGATGCTGCTGCTGTGGCTGTCGGGATGGGAAGCTCGTGCCGCTCCTGCCTCCCCCCGTGCCCGCAGACATTGCGCTGGGGGTGGTGAGTCATGGGCCCTGGGGTGGGAGGGACCCCTGCCACTGGGGCTCGGGCTTGGGGTGCCCCAGGGGAGAGGGAGCAGGGGGGTGTCCCTGCACATCCCGCACCCCCCTGTAGAGTCCCCACATGTTCCCCTGGCTGCTGAGCCCAGGTGTGAAGGTGTGGGAGCATCCTCGAGGCCACCCAGGTGGCAGGGAGGACAAGGCAGGGTCAGGTGGCACCCCTTGACCCCTGCGCCCCCAGGCTGTGGCTGGACTGGACAGGCCGCATGAGCGCCCACTCCTGCTGGCCCACTGGATGATAAAAAGTTCATGATCCAGCCCCACATTCAAAAAGGTTGGACATCCCCGTTATAGACATACACCACCCACTGGGTTACACACATGATTTATTTGACTACCATGTTTCACAACCTTCCCCAACCTCCATAAAATAGTATTCTATCATACCAAAGTTCAGATAGAATTTCTATATAGGATTTATGTGTGTATGGGTATCTGTCCAGGAAGTCTTCATATGCAAAAAACCCCAAGCAAACAAACAAGAAAAACTTTACACTTCCATTCCTGAGATGAACCCTCCCTTTAAAATTCAGTTCTTCCCCCTCCCAGCTTTCTCTGATATGAGTATTCATGATAGCATTTCTATTGCCTGGGACAAATGAAAAAAAAGAGATAGTTACCATTCAAAACTGCCCTAGAGAGAGGCTTATGAAATTAAGTCCTGATAAATGATCCCTGTTCACTTGGTCCAGCTTAGTATAGACACAAGCCCATTCATTAGACACAGTATACGTCTTAGATTCTGAGTGTGCAAATGAGAAACCCTGAAGTGTTGCATAAGATCAGTGCTCAGGATCCTCTTTAACTGCCTACACTGCCTAATTGCCAGGCTTAGACAGGTATAAAACAGAAGAAAGAGAAAATGATCAGGGAACCTCTCTCAGCAGCAGTGCCAGACTCATGGGGAGTAGCTATGGACAAAGCCTATGTTTTTTTTGTTTTTTTTTAAAGATCATGTGTTACTTATTTAATTAGTAATAAAATGCCATGATTTCCAAAAATAAATATTAGAAAATCTATTCTATGACTTCTATGAACAAACCAATCCAATTATGTCCTGTACTGGTTATCAAATCACTTTAATGGGCTATCAGTGTGTTCAGATTTCAACTGATAAACTGACTTATTCAACCCTTAACAACAGGAGGCTGTGAGATAGTGCTCACGCTAAGCAAGGCCTAGCATAATTACCAACGCACTAAAACTCCCAGAATGCTTCAAGGAGGTTGAGAAGTCAATGGTTGACATTCTGGTAATCATTATCTGACCCTTGAATAAGAATGCTGACAGTCTGATAAAAATTGCAAGCACGCAGCTTCTATTGCGAACTACGGAAACCGCATGGCTAAACCACAATGACGAAAGATAACCGCTTATTATTGAAGCAGTCTGGAAAATATTATAATATAGATGGGTTAACTAGTAACTAATAGAGGTAAGAATTAGAAATGCATATGTATGTGTGTTATCATATATAAGTAATAGAAAAAGTATGTTAGAGGCCTCACTCAGAGCAGAGTGCGGACAGTTTTGTATCTTTTGTCTTAAAAAAGATAAGGGACTCCTTTTACCTAAGCTGTTGACCAGTTCTGAGACTACTGAATTGGGCAGCCGCACCTAGCCTTCGGGTTAGAAAGCAAGGGCCTGATTTGGGAACCTCGTGAACCAACAGACCTCCTTAGTTTATGACTTTGTGAAACAATAAAAGTTTTAAATTGAACATCCAGGTCTGAGTCTGTGCTTAATTCAGTCCTTATATAATTTGGTACGAACTCACACAGAGGCAGAAAAAATAAATTGATCGTTTTTCATACAAATACCAGGCTCTCTTTTTACTTCTGAAAGCTCACATTAAAATGGAAAGAATGAAGATGTAAGCATAAGCAAAAGCTCAACAAGCCAGTTTTATTTATATTAGTGCACCAATAATGGCCCTGCAGTGGAAAGAACTGTTACAATACAATTGCAGATAATTATTCTTTAAAAAAATTAAAACATATGTCAAAGTGATTGAGACCAACTCATTTACAAAGTTAAAATTGACATCTAGACACGTTCTTATAGATTGTACAACAAGTAGAATATAAAAGAAACAGGACAGCAACATAATTCCAAAGTTATAAAGATAGGACCTTGATGTTCATGCCAGAAGTAACCTTGTAGCATGGAAATACTGTACTTATGCTGTAAACCTCCAGCTGTCTTGCTCTCCCACTTTAGATGAAGAAAGTTCTCATCACAATGAGATAATAATCAGAACTTCAAGCACAGACATAGATGCCAAATTATGAACTTTGTTTCTGCCCACTGAATCTTAAACCTTTGTCATCAGCTTCCAGCTGATGCAATTTAAAAAAAAGAGGATTTATTTTCTTATATAAAGACTGCCACCTCTGAGTGCCACTCTTGATTCAATCTCCGTGTACTCTGAACCAGCTGAGATTTCCCTTGGCAGGGGAGTCCACAACCTGGCACAGAACCAGCTGAAGCAAGGAACAGTTGTGGCTGGAATATCACAGTGCTGTCCTTAATGTGGCTAGCTTTGGCTATTTGCAAGGGGGTTATGCCAACCTCCATAAATATGGATAAAGTCAATAGCCCCCTAGCCTGTTTCTGGCTAACTACAAAATTAACCTTTTACAAGGTGCCTGGCCAGCAAAGTAAAGAAAGCAATCAATGTGTTTAGTTCAACTAGTAGTATAGTCAAACTAAACGGAGCAAAAGGCCCGATAGAAGCACCCATTTACATAGTATTTCCTACACATTTCCCTATGGTGCATGTGTCACTGCGCCACCATTTAGTACTTCCTTTAGAAATGACAGTACAATAACAGCCCATACAGCACTGTGCATGCCACACATGGTTATTTTCAGCTGCTATGTCACCAGAGCAATGCGCTATAATGAGGAAGTGTGTTGCTACAGCAATGTAGATGTGGCATCATGGTTTGTGACCACTGATACTACGTTGCTGTAATGTGTTGCTATGGCAATGTAGTATCATGTGTAGACGTACCCAAAAAGTCCTTAAGATAGATAACCCAAACATAGCATATTACAGCTTTAGCTTAAAAATGTTAATGGCAGTGACTGATGGAACCACTTGTGCTTTTATATAGTTTTTCTATAATTATGTTGCTGTAAAAAAAGAGGCAGCTGTCAGTGAAGATACAAAGTAAAAAAAAAAAAAAATATATATATATATATATAGGGCAGTGGAAGTGACATTCTACAATGGTGAAGGAAGGAGATAAGAAATTCTTCCTACCAGAAACTATGATTTTCACAGGACATAAATCCCACCTAATTAATACTTTCAAGGCTACAGAAAGACTGGTTCAATTCTGTTTCCAAAGTCTCAGTGAAACAAAGAAACTTAAATGAACCAGTCAGAGAATTTGTCAGAATAAGTCATGTGTAAACATTAGATAAGGAAGGAAAAATTGGAGAATTCAGCAAATCCAAGATGACCTGTGTGTCCTCTTCCTCCTCCTTCCCAAGTGTCCTCAGGCAGTATGGGTGAAAATCTATATTGTACTGTTACAGGCAGGTAGATAGCCACTGAAATAAATGGGGCTTATCTGTGGGTCTTGTACAATGGGTAGAGATGTACTTAATTCATGGGGCCAGCCACCTTTTTTCATGGCATTATCATAGCCTTGGGCTGATTTTTCACAGCTTCAGCATAGCTTCCCTTCCTCCATACCTCTGATTGGCCGAGGGGGGATGGGAAACCCACCCCCTGCTGAGAAACAGATAGCCTGAGACCCAGAAGCATGTAATTAAACTCCAGTTTTTCTCTAGGGAAATTTTGAGAGTTGCTCCCCCCTTTGCCCTCCTCACCCCACTTCCCCACCCTGGGTAAGCATGAGATTCCCACATTTTTTGGTTCCAGAAAGACCATTTTTATCATGCCTCTAGGTCAGGGGTGGGCAAAATGTGGCCCACCAGGCCATCCTATTTGGCTCGTGGGCCCCCCCCAAAATTTAGAAAATTAATAATTATCTGCCCCAGCTGCCTGTCATGTGGCCCTCAATGGCTTGCCAAAACTCAGTAAGCGACTCTCCACCCAAAATAATTGCCCACGCCTACTCTAGGTAATTTCTGGCAGCCACTCCCACTCCCCCGCCTGGTGAAGAATGAGGAAAACCCACTCCATGGTGAGAGATGGACAAAAGTTATACCAGGGAGCATATAATTAACCCCAGTTTCTACTAACCCCTAAGTATCAACATTTTTTGCAGTTCAAGTAATCGTCTCCTAGTATTCACCCTCATTACCCATTTAAAGCCCTCCAGAAAAGGACAATTGCTTTTCTTCCCCCAGCCACCTCCATTAAGGCTGCTAGCAGCTTCTTCGCCTCTCTCTTCTCTCCAAAGGCTTTCCTACTTTTTTTTCCCTGGAGCCCACTGAAATAGAAGGGCTCTGTTTTTCCTGGATGATGGTGATTTTTGTGGGGAACACCTGATAACATTCCCCATGAAGATCATGTAATCATGAATTAAATATATCGCTAGCTATGAGAGTGCAAAGGTCAGGTTGTAGACCTGCCTCTTGCCTCAGTATCTAACCTACCAAAACACCTATATAAAAAAATAACTCTAACCCTTTGTAGTGTGCAGTTCTTTGGAGATTATTGTTAGCCTAACAGGTTTGGACAGCCAACTAGTTGCTGTTATTTCTACTGAAGCCAGTGCTGACCTCGTCTCACTCTTACAATCCAACTAGGTATATAACCACCTCCTCAGTGTGCTCCTCTTCCTGCCCAAGAGCAGATTTAGCAGAGCAGAGAACCTGCTCATAGGACATACAGAATTCTATTGCTGCCTGGATTTTTCATGAGCAATGTCAGGAAATGAGTTGTATATGAACAAAGTAAAACCTAGTACTTAACATTAGTTTAGTCCTACACTGTCTTTATACACAGGGAACAAGGGCAGACTTAAACACTGGTATTCAACTTATTCCCATATTGACTAGGTACATGGTATAAGTCATTGAAAACTAGCCTATGCCTGTAAGAGAACAGAAGTTTTGCACACAAAACCAGTCTATACCTGTTACAGAACAGAAGTTCAGCACACAGACTGAACTGGTTTAAAAATGGCAGAACCTGGTTTGTCTCCTCCCTCACCAAAGGGTGAATGTGTATTCTGTTTGTTACTGATCTAAACTACACTGCTTACAGAAACCTGTGTAATTTATATCAATTCTGCCTTGGGCTTTTTGAATGTCAGGACCACTACCTAGCTAGTGTGATTTCTACCAGGTCACTTAGCTTCTCTGTGTCTTATCTCCCTATTTTCAAATGGGGATTTTAGCACTACTTTACCTAACAGAAGTGTTCAGAGGATAAATACATCAGATGTTGAAGCATACAGATAAAAACACAGCAAAAATATATTCTTCTTTTGCAATCCATCACAGTTGAAGAAGATCACCTTCCATGATTGCCTTATCTGTGGGTCCAAGGATGAAGACCAATCTGGGATCAACAGACTACTGTAACTTGGCCATGTGCTTGTGTGTGGAGTGAGCAGCTCTGGATTTTTGATTCAATCTGTGACACACTGTTTCTGCCACTACTGCTTTTCCATCTCCTGTTGTTGTCATAAGGTTTCAAAGTACTGAGATCCTTGCAGCAGACTCTTCCTCCATTTGGGGTGGTCCTGGGCAATAGTCTCCCATGAGTTGATATCAATATTGCATTTTTTCAAGTTGGCCTTGAGGATGTCCTTCAAGTACTTTCTCTGCCCTCCTCTTGAGTGTATGCCTTAACTGAGCTGGGAGAATAAAACTTGCTTGGGAATCTGTAGTCAGACATCTGGATAATGTGGCCAGCCCAGTGAAGTTGATGTTGAATGATCATCACCTCGATGCTCTTAGTGTTTGCCTGTGAGTGTCATGGGACAGGGTCCCTAAGGATGGCTGTGTTGCCCCTAAGGCCCCTCGACCATGCCAATTTGGCCTGCTGGGCACACTCAGTTCTTGCATGCCACATCTTGATGGATTTATAGTATAGGGAGGCTGCCTTTAAGTCCTCTTGGACACAGTTTGATGGATTGTCTGACCCCTTGTAGGTCTTGCTTCAAAATAGATGTCAGAGGACACCCCAGCTTTATGGGCTATATGAGTGGCTTCAACTGCCCCTTTACCATGCCCCAAGCTTTGCAGATGGCATTGACTTTGTTCGGTCTGGGACTTGGTATGAATTGGCCCCCTTGCCCTCTCTGGGCTCTCTGCAGCCCTGTCGCTATGCCTCACTGGCACCTGGGCTCTCTGCAGCCATGTTGCTGCATCTCACTGCTCTGTCTCCATGCCTCACTGGAGCCGGGGGTCTGTGCACCCCAAATGCCATGCCCTGTCTGGCACCGGGGGTCTGTGCACCCCAAATGCCGTGCCCTCTTTGCTGCCGGGGTCCCCACACTGCAGTGGGCCCCCAATGAAGCCTCCTCCTTCCCCAAATAGCCTCACCCAAACCACCAGTCTAATAAAACAGCAAATAAAACATAAGCCCCTAGGCTATAACACAAGCCACCCGGCTATAACATAATTCGAGTCACACTGGGCATGCTCTGCCCCTCAATAGTACTGGAAACTGCATCTCTGGTCAGGCCTCTCCCCTTTGCTTCCTCTGGGAGAGCTCCTTTCCCCTTGGCTGCTGGCAGAGAACTGCCTTCCTGGCTTCAGCCCTGGGGTTTATATATGAGCCAGACCCTGCCTCTTCTGGTCAGCTGACCACTGGCAGGTGTGGGCCAACTAGCTCATCCTGGCTGCCCTGGTAACCAGCATCTGGGGCTCCCAACTGACTGCAGCTCCAGCCCTTAAAAGGAGCAGGACACCCCAGTGCCCTGTGACAGTGAGACGATGCTAATGTTGATTTATCTTTCTTCCCACTGGATTCAAAGGATTTTCTGCAGGTACCATCAACTCCTCCATTGACCTGAGTTGTCTCCTGTATGTTGGCCATGTTTCAGCTCCATACAATAAGGTGGGGATCACAACTTCTTGATAAACTGAGATGATGTCACAATCTTTGAAACACCCATTTTCTTAGGCATCTGAAGACTGTACTTACACATTATTGCCTCCAAGATGAACATGGGCCGACAATGCGAGGTCATGGTTGGCAGGGCTAACCGGACCTTGTTGTGCATCCACAGGTGCATCTCAAGTAGAGCCAAGGAGGT